CTTCCTCTTCCTCTTCATCTTCATCGCTCTCAGTGGCCCCTTCTTCACTACCATCCTCTCTACTTTCATCGGCCACAATTCGCTCTACCCCAACCTTTGGTGTTTCAACCTCGTGCACTTCCTTGATGGGTCTCGCTGCAACTCCAATGACACCGTCGTAGATGAGAGACTTGCCCTCTCCTCGACGCAAAATTTCGGCATCCCTCTCCGGATCGACAACTTCATTGAGCGTCCGAGGTATGTATGAAGAACGGAAGACGGCGTCCTCTTGAGCGTGATCGACCCCCGAATCTGTCCTGGAGGACGAATTATCTCCGGACTCGTTGAATACCGGAGTCGATCGAGGGTTCTCGGATAGCCAGTTTTCCAAGGTCTTCTCTAAAGCCTTGTATTCCACCGTCTTGGCGTATTTTGGATGCTCGGCCTCTGCCGACTCTCCCGAACGTGCCTTGTTCGGGTCGTTCCCGGCAGGCAGAGCTTGTATGCCAGACTCGATCAATGGTATCAACGTTGGAGCAGCATCCTCCTCCTCCACCAGCTTCTCTAGTTCAAGGCTCTCGTCACTCGATACGACGAAATCGAAACTCTTCCGCAATCCTAGCGTTTGGACACCCCGCTTCTTAAACCATTCGTCGACATTGGTCAAATCTGTCCGCAAGAACTCCAGTGCATGTGGGTGATCGTGCTCCACTGACTGCGAAACGTCGATCATGTAGAGATGAGAGCGGTGGAATAGGATGTTGTACTCGGAGAGATCCGCATGGACTAAGCGGCAGACATGGTAGAGGGTTCGGACGGTGATCAAGAGCTCTGCGTAGAGGGAGGGAAGAAGTTCAGAAGGAACGTTCGCATCCTTGAGACGAGGAGCGGGCCTGATTATTGCCTGTCAGTTAAGCCACCCAGTATCCCACTATTGCATCGCTACTTACCATCCCTCGGTCTCGCTCAGAAACTGCATAACAAGAACATTCTCCCGGACTTCGATGGGCTCGGGGCACCGAACATTCGCTTCTGTGAGTCGCTTCAAATTGCGCATTTCCTTTTCCGCCCACAGACGAACCATTTTGCGCGGGTTATGCTTGGCATAGCCCCTCCTGAACCGGTGCTCGCCCGTCACATATCGATCGCGGTCCTTGAATACCAAGATGGATGTTTTGTAAATTTTCAATGCGATGTGAGCCTGCTCTGGCGACAAAGCATGGTAGACGTTTGCCTAAGGTGATTCCTCAGATATGACATCCTCCATTCCTATCAATGACGCAACTCACCTCCTTCCCTGTGCTGATACACCCGTTAACTTCGAATATTACCCCTCTCCCGATCATCTTGTACAAGATCAACCGAGTTCTTGGATCCAAGACTTGCTCCGTTGTCGCTCGGTCCGCCTTGTCTTTGCGGTTAGCCACGGCGGAAGGACCTTTTCTGTTGACACCAACGCCCATACCAAGGGCATTGTATGGTTCTGAGAGTTTTGCAAGTCGAGAGTTATACTTTTGGAGAAGCGCGAGCTGGTCTGTTGTGATGGGCAACTTAGAGGAAGAGGTTTGAGCAGGGGCAGCCGGGGTGGTGGCAGGGGTTGCGGTCGAAGTTGGGACTTTTCGGGGTTTGTTGACGGGAGGAAGAGACAATACAGCAGTTCCTTTTTGCTTCGATGTGACTTCCGGCCGAGCTGTCCTGTTGTATACTGCGGCATGTTGCCGTAGACGGTTATACTGTTTCGTAAAGTCTTTCCTCGTGATGTCAGGGCCCGCTAAGGATAAAGTGACAACCGGACTCACCCTTTTCAGCAACCTCCCAATCCTCATCTTCTGGTCTAATTTCATTCTGAGCCCAGTCATCCTCCGAGTCAACCTCTTGGTCCCGGTCGCCTTCTTCGTCTAAGAAGTGGTCCTCCCTCCCATCCTCGGCCGCCGTGTCCGAATCAGATCCACTGGCATATACATCTTCCCTCTGCAACTCGTTCATGAGCTCGTGAAGTGAGGGCAATTCCTCGCGAGACTGGTGCTCAGCGTCATGGACGTCATCTATCCTTCCCGTGGCCGCCTCAGAGTCATGCCCCTCTGCCACAAGCGACTTCGAGGTGTCATTTCGGGCAGAGTCGAGATTGCTGTCAAGCGCTTGACTAAGCCATTGCCGCGTATTGGATCTTCTTTCCATGGAAACTCGTCTAAAAACTTTTTGCTGGCCTCTTTCGGATCTAGTTAAGGTTGAAGAATTGTAAGTTCTCCGTGGCGGGTTCACCGCACCAATCACCCGCGTGAAAAAAACGCCTCACGTTGGCATCCCAGAATTTATTAGTTAACTCAAGGACCGATCATGAGCAAGCTCACCTAAACTCACGATTTACTGCTCTGATGTCTGACGCAGGAGTTGGACCTGCAATTGGCGGGTGATGTCAGATTTCGTGGATAGAGTCGCTGGGTGTCTTCGTACGTTCCCCCATATGCAGAGTCACCAATCTGAAGCCCTGTTCTCTCACTTTTTTTGTGCACAGATCATAGAAGAAGTCTGTATATAGTGTATACAGGCTTAACTGCGAGCCCAATGCATAGTTTCAATTTTCAATGTGACTATCTACTCGTCCGCTACGATTACGACAGCCTTGCCAACATTCTTGCCTTTTTGTATATCGAGCAAAAACTGAGGGACAGTATCAAGTCCGTGCCGCACCTCCTCTCGGATTTTGATCTTTCCTTCTCTCACTAGCTTCGGCATCTCTTTGAAGAAACCAAAGTCACCCTCTCTCTTTTCAAGAGGGTTGACCCAGAATCCCGCCACGGTAAGCTCTCGAGAATGAATCAGGCTGAAGTTCTATCCGTCGATCGCGAGTTCATGTTCAATTAGTTTTGGATGATACCGGATGGAGAAAGCTACCGACCTTGACTCCAAATCCTGTATTGTCCTTGGAGTTGTATTGTTCAATGACGCCGCAGATCTACATCCAAACCGCACCTCAGGGTTCTGGTAGCTTAATACAATAGAGATGGAGAACTTACAATAACACGACCCACGGGGTTCATGTTACCTATTACGGTCTCGAGGGTCTTGCCCCCAACGTGATCCCAGTAAATGTCGATAGGGCCTTCCCTTTTAAGGACAGCCTCAAGATCTTCCGTCTTGTAGTTGAAGGCTGCATCAAGTCCAAGTTCTTCCTTGAGATATTTGACCTTTTCGTCGCTTCCAGCCGATCCGATGACTTTCAAGCCTTGCTCCTTAGCGATCTGAGCGACGGCGCTGATGCAATGCGTGAGCACAAGGGAATCACTCTTCTGACAGAAAACTTACCTTCCTACCCCACCGGCTGCCGTCGACACTAAGATCGTCTCTCCCTAATGGGCTGCGTCAGCTCACGCCCCAGGGCATGTTGGGCAGGCCAACGTATGCCCACCTTTTTAGCCTTGGCCAGTGCATAATAGCCAATCCACGCCGTACGAGTAACCATTCCTAGTACGCCAAGATACTGCACCCAAGTCGCGGCATCCTTTTCAATCCGACGGAGCTGACTGGCACCCCGGGTAACTACCGCGTATTCCTGAAAGGCTGCAATGGAAGATCGACACTTCAGCGTCCAGCTACTCCGTCGAGAGAAGCTGAGATACTCACGAGCCTCTTCTGTGTAGATATAGTCCCCCGGGTTGTAACCTTCAAGCTCCGAACGAATGACTCGCCCGACGATATGCCCAAAGATTCTAACAGGTGGGACACCCCTTCAAACTCTGCAGGAATGCCGAGATATTAGGGCGCACTCACGGTTCTCCGAGCTTATATGTCCTATCCATCAAAATTCGATAGTATGGATCGACCGAAAGCGCTATCGTCTTGACGAGTAATCCTCCATGGAGAGGAACCGAATCCAAGTTGATGGTCGCGTCATTCGTAACTTGAAGGTGTTCTCCGGGAATGGGAAATCCGTCGGGTCTGGAGGAGAATATTACGGAAGAGTTTTTGGTGGTCGTCATTGTGAAACTAGTAAGTGGGAGTTTGCCGAATGCCCAGCCACCCCAGAAAGCGGCATTGGCTTTTATACAACACACATCACAAGTGGAGAATGTGCCATTAATCAGCTCGCTCAAATGAAAACCGAACGCGGGTGTCGCCTGCAATGGTCTGGAGGAATGGTGGGTAAGGGAAGTAAGAAACGGTGTCGCCGGAATGACGCAAGGTGGAGGTCTTTCAAACGGAGGTGGACAGATGTGGCTCGCCGTTATGTCACCGTTTACTCACTTGGCCACAATCGATACGATCTGGTACACATAAATCTCAGGTGTTGCAATCTATGTTTGTGGAAAGTCTCGGTTCGGTGGAGGCTTATAACTTGTAACCCTGAGCCGATTTCACGATTAGTCAGTATTTGCTGCAGTTGGGATCAGGGAAAATATAGATGTGCCTGCTCGTCACTCCACCCGCAAATGAGGTCATGAGGTATTAGAGCTTGGTAAAGGTGCCTAAAAGCGCCCCAGAAGGTATGAGCACCCCATCGACTGGTCCGTGTGTCGCAACTCGCGGTCTCTTCCAGCCGCGCCTATTTTAACCGGGCTGTGTCCCGCTCTTTTCTTCAGCGTAATTTGCAGCTATATTGGCCCTGAACTATTCAACATTTTCTTTCATCTTAATACAAGTGGAGGGATCAAGTGGTTGAAAGGTAAAGATCCGCAGCTGTTGCGGAGATATCCAGTAGTTTGCATTTTAGAGAGAGCTTGGCAAACGAAAGCTCTGAGAGCAATTGCATTACCACGCAAAATAATCAAACAGGCAAGACGGAAAGGGAAGGTGGCTTTGGTGGAATTCCGGTAGCAGTCGATGGTTCGCCCTCCTCCGCTCGGGGAATGTGGAGCTCAGACCTACCTTCTATCGTGCCCTCTTTAGTAACGCCTTAAAACCAGATTTGCTATCCTCCACGAGGCTCGGCCTTGTGGCACAATCTCTGGGCGGTGTGTATTTGGTACTCTCTTGTTATGTTATCGTTATATAACGGGGTTCTTTTCAGAGTTAATGTCAACGGCCGTCTGGCGCAATGGCAGCGCGTCCGCCTACGATTCCCACGCTAGCGGGAGGTTGCAGGTTCAACCCCTGCGTCGGTCATGATCTTTTAACTTTTGGGGGAATTCCCCGGTGGCCCTCTGTGCTACCTTTTTCCCGCCGCGTTTGGGGCTGGGGAGGAGAAAAACAGCCCCTTCCCCATCCCCCCTTTCCCTAACGCCTGATACCAGTCTGCTCCTATTCTCTCTCTCGCTCAGCGGTGCTTCTTGAGCTCCGTCTGAGAGTTTCTCGATTTCCAACTGGGTGGGCTGACGCCCGGGCTTTTCCTTCGGGGGCCGGAAACCGCCAAACCCCAAAAAAAAAACAAGGCCAAAAAGGCCAAATAAGGAACGCCACAAAAACCCAAAAAAACGCCGAAGAAATTGAAAGAAACCCTGATCTCGATGGGTACCGAAGTCCTTGACTCTGGGCTCCGTGAAGCAGCAGCTGACGGAAGCCCTTGTCCCGGCCCTACGCAATCGAGAATTAGGGGTACTGGCAGGACCACGTGGACAATAGGATGTTTAAGCATGATCTCGGATCTACACAGCTGGACCTGGACTCTGTAATTTCGCCCCACTCGTTAGAACGGAGTCCCACCCCGCGCAGGATCGCACGGAGAGTCACCTTCAGTCAGAGACATTAAACGTCATATAAGATGTAATGCAATCATGCTTTATACCATTTGCGGCTTTCGTTTCCGGGACTCAATCAAGATCTGCTTCTGGATCCGAATCCATAACCGCCCCCTTGGTCCGGAGAACCGGAACCTCACTCGGACGGAGAACTCGGTTGTCCCGAAAGAGGTATCCCTCCGCACCCAGTTTTCGGAAATGGACAGTGGGCACCGTCAGGTGGCATGATACGCAGAAGGTCTTATGTCTAAGAAGAAATATGTTTTTCCTAACCCAGTAGATAGGTCGGCTCGCAAACGTAAACATGTTTAACCGGCCCCTTCCCATCAGCACCAAAAGGTCGTCTGATCACGGAGGCCTCCCGCAATCTGTTATCATGCGACGGCTGTAACTATGCCTAGATGTTCATACGACTGTGAGTCTAAGCCCTTAAGCTGCCACCCCGAATATTTTTCGTTAATTTGTTTCGCAC